CCCCCCCCTGATAAAGAGGGGGAATTGATATATTATGCTATAGTATATTACATACTAAATTATGTTTTTTTTCATAATATAGGGGAGGCACAGAATTGAAGCTGACAGTTGGCGCTGGCTGCTGGCTGCGGGCGTCGTCCTGCACTTCTTGCAGCTGTCGAGGCGCTTCATTCGGGCTCCTCTGTGTGAATGCCTGCCGTCCTGAAATCTGCGATGCGGAGCAAAGCCGAAGACACTACCAGGGAGCAGGTTTGGCAATGTCAGAAAGGGTTGAGTCCATTTGGCAGTTGTTATGTATGGCATCCTGGTTGTCAGGGCTGGATGGAAGTAGTTTTTGCTGGTGAGCATACGCAAGGGATGCTATATGTCAAGATGAAACTTATGCACGGGCATCTAGTTTCCCAGGCGGCTGCGGCTGGACGATTGCTACCCTGGCACTTCCTCGGAGCACAGGAGCCAGAAAGCCTGACTGTGAAAAACCTCGGCATCCACGGCGGTCGCGTGCTTGTCCTGGGCTACCTGTGGAGGCACATTCCAGTCATGCCCAGTTGCAGCGACTTGGCAATATACTTGCACAATGCTCCCTGCCAGCAGGGCCTCCGTGTGCAATGTACAGAACGCCTGGCACTTACACAGGCTTTGTTGTTCGTGGCATTAGTGGATGACGTGATTGATTGCAAGAGCAAGTGTGGCGTGCTGAGGTCGTCAAATCCATCATCCCTGATGAGCTGCGGGTTTATGCTTGTGAGGCGATCAGAGCCTTATCATTGTGGTATTTTCTCTATTGCTATCCTGGCTTGTTCCGTAAGTTCCGTACTATGGAGAGAAAGTTCTCCACTCAGACGACTTTTCCCTGTAAGAATCGGTTGCATTAGCTGGTCCATATGCAATCTTGTGTACGGCATGGCTGCCAAACCCTCAGGAGACCAGCATGGGCTGCACGATGTGCTTCATCTGTTGAGGCGTGCCGTGCGGCTGTAGCTGTTTCATCTTTTTTGCAGATGGGTCAGTCATGCAACCAGACTCCTCACCCGGAGATTTTTGGGATGGCCGCCTGCAGCTTCTGGCCCGAGCGAATCCAAGTGAAGGGCGTGCTTTGGCCCGCAGCGCCTGCAGCGTTTCAACCATGGTGCCGGGCTCGGTCCAAGAGAAAAGCGCACGCAGGATCCCGATGGATCAACGTAGGGAAGCCTGAGGTGTCGACTAGCGAGTTGGACACCATGAACTACGATTTGGAGAGGACGCAGAAGGGGAGGGGTCCCGGGGTCCCCGTGCGTTCAAAAAATGCTGGCGAGGATGAGCGGCAAGAACTTCGGCATCAAGGAGGCAAAGGAGGAGGCGAAGCTTGAAGCGCGGCGGGAAGCCTGCAAGGCTTGGAACATCCTGGAACTCCAGCCCTGCAAGCCCCCACAAACCCAGTCCCTGCACCCAAAGTTGGTTGCGTCCCTCCCTGTGTGCTGCAGGAACTCCTGCTTCTCTGGCTGGCGGAGCATCCCCATCGAATGTATGTTCAAGGCCTGCATGGCCTGCCCGGGCCCCAAAGCAATATGGCCACGCGCCCTTGACATTGCACCTCAACATCCCTCCACAAAGGCTAAACTGCTAAGCTGCCTTGAACGAGGATGGCGTTTTGCCAGTGGGAAAGCCGCAGCAAGGCGCGGGCCTATGCGCGCTTCCAGGAGTTCACAGAAAAGATCCCGGCAAGCTGCTCGTCTG